GCGTGGAGGGCGGGGCCGGAGGCGTGGGAGCGCGTGGAGGGCGGGGCTGAGAGTGAGCACCACGGGGTGGGGGCGGCTAAGGAGCGCCAGGGCAAGGCTCCTACACCCCCTCAGGCCCGAGTCTCCCTCCTGCCCCCCGCTTGCCCTCTGGCCCCAGCGGGCATCTCTACTGCAGATGCCCACTAGGCTTCCTCCCAAGAACCCAGACCCCTGATTCCCTTGGGCGGCTCCTACCCCATCCGCAGTCCAGCAACGGGATCCTCAGCGTCTTCTCCTCGGGGACCGGGGACCGGGGACCGAGGCAGATCAGCAAAAGGGCCTGCAGACCACCCCCCAGCCAGGGAGCGCCAGGACCCCAGGACTGGGGAGGCCCCGCAGCCAGGAGGGAGGAGCAGACGAGCTCTCCCGGGAGGCGGTCCCTCGCCCACCTCGGACCTCCGGGCGGAACGGGGGCCGTACTGACCGGCTCAGCCCGCCACGTCTCCACGTTCCGGGCTCCGCGTCCCACCTGCAGACCCCGCCGTACACCGGGAACCAGGGCTGGGCCCGCGCGAGCCCACAGCGTCCCCTGGCGGGAGGGTGCGACGCCGCTGCAGACCCTGGGCCTTCCTGAGGCGGGACAGGACCCGGTACCCTCGCGGGCACCCCAGCCTTCCCCACAACCCACAAAGAGGGTTCTGCTGTTCCCTTTGCACGGGGAAGGAAACTGAGGCTCGGAAAAGCCTGGCGACTCGACCAAGCCCAATGGCAGAGGTGGGTTGGACGAGCCGGGGGCTGGAGAGGAGAGCCAGGGCGCGCTGGGGTGGAACCCAGTCCTGGAAAGCGAGGGAGCTGGTCAGCCGCCACCGCCCCCAACTCCTGCGGCCCCTGGCCCCTGCCGGGCCGGCTCCTTCTGGAAGACACTAGCTGTGGGCGTTAGCCCTGGATGCACACCCGCCCACACAGGGGCCCACGCGTGAGCCTCCACCAAGACCACTCCATCTCCTGGGCCCAAGGGCACGGTACCTGCCCTGGTGCAGCCTGTCCCTCCCAAATTGTCGCTGATGCTAAATCTTTGCTTTAATGGCAATGTGTTTGTTATGGACTGTTTGCGTTCCTCCAAAATTTGTATTTTGAAATCCCAAGCCCCCAAAGGTGATGGTACCAGGAGAAGGGGCCTTTGGGCGGTGACAGGTCATGACGTCAGAGCCCTTCCGAATGGGATGAGTGCCCTTAGAAAAAGGGATGCTCTCGAGCTGTCAAACCCATGGCATGAGACATGAGAAGATGCAGCCTGGGGCGGGTCTTCCCAGAACCCGACTCGCCTGCACCTGGCCTCAGACCTCCAGCCTCCACAGCTCTGAGAAATAAACGTGTACTGTTTCTAGGTCCCTGGGTCTGTGGTGCCTCACTACAGCAGTCCAGAAGACAGTGCCTGCCATTCAAACCTGTATAAAACGCTGCAGAGTGTGCCCTAGAGACAAGCACTTGGACTGGAGTGTGCCATGCCCCTCCACAGCCTCTCTGATGCGGTCATCTGTTTCGCAGGTCAGCCTGGGCTGAACCAGGCCACACAGGAACCAGCAGGCAGATGGCCATCACAAGAGTGTGCCCAGCCCCAGAGGAGGCTGTCTGCTCACCTTTCACCAAAACCCCTCAGATCCGCTCAAGGAAGGGGAAATGGGCAGAAGCAGCGTTCTTCTGAGACCAACTGTGGGGAAGAAAACCTGCAGCTCCCTCCCACTGGATCCTCCAGGAACCTCTCTCTCCAGGGGGCAGGGGAGGGAGAAGCCATTGGTTGTTTAGGGAGAAACTGTCTGTGCTGAAGAAAAGGCAGGAGCCCGGCACGCACCATTAACTGGCTTCAGCTCTCCCCAGGACGCACCACTGAGGGCAGGGCCCAGCCTGCTGAGCAGCTCAGGGCAGGTGCAAGGACTCAGCCCAAACGCCGCAGCCCCCTCCCGCCCACGTGCCAATCCCAGAAAAGCCGCTCCAGAAGCAAATCCCCAGGTGGCAGGAGCCAGAAGCTCCTGTTATAAAGAGTACCCAGCCAGTGAGCGAGCGTTTATTAGGGTCCTTTTTCGTGACCTGGGAGACAGACCCAGGGTGGACTACGTGCATAGGACGTCACACTTGCCACATGCATAAATACGTGAAGATGCAAATTACATCAGCACAGATTCACAAAACGCTTAGCCTTGGCAAGAAAACACTGCAGCTAGGCAGCTCCCGTTCTCAGAGACTCCTGCCACAGACGTCATGGAGACAGCATGGGCCTCCCCAGGAACAATCCCCACGGCTAAGGCTCCCCAGACCTGGAGGATCAGGCTCTGTGGCGAGACACCATCACTTCCTGTTCTTTGCAGCTGCCTAAGGTTACCTGGTGGAAAAATTGAGTTTTTTCAATGTTGTGGGTATTTTAATAGTTCGTCTGTAGGAAGAGCATTTGCAAAGTCACCAACCTGCAGCTTCCGTCTATAGACCAGGAAGGGTGATTCTCTGGGTGACTGCAGCAAGGCATCCCCTGAGGTACAGATACTGCACCCCCCACCCAAGTGTCCCTGCAGCCACCACAGTCCTTGCAGCTGGGCTCAAGCGAGCCCTGCCAAGCCCCACACCTCCCTCTGGGCAGCAAGCTCAGGCCCTGCGCAGGACCATCTTGAGGTCTGTAAATGAAGCAGGCGTCACCAGAGCAGAACTCTGCTGTGGCCACTGGGTTCTCCCACACAGCTTCCCTCGAAGCACAGCACAGCCACCGACCACTGACTTCAAGCAAAGGAGAGACTGAGGGGAGCCCTGGGAGGATGTGGGGACCCCCAGAAAATCTTCCCTCACCCTGCTCCAAACAGAGCAGTCGAGACCAGGAAAATGAGGCCTCTACTTTGTGAACAACAGAGCTGCCCATGGTGGTCAGGAGGCGCCTTCCTCCTGAGCCCCTCCCACGCACCGAGAAGCAGGGCTCAGCTGATGGTCCGGTCCCGTCCGGTCCTGGAGGGACGCTGTAGCACTGCCGGAGGGAATGGGTCAGGGCCTCCCGCCGCTCTCCTGCAGGGAAACGGGGTTGGGCCCAGAGCCAAGCTGCAGTCAGGGATGAGGCCTGCATGGGGCAGCACACAGAAAACCTTCAGAGGTGCGGCTGGCCCAGGCCCAGCTCAGTGTCTACAGCCAGTGACTGGCAGTCCACCGGGACACTCCCTCCTGGGGTGACCCTGGCTGCACAGCTGCAGTCAGAACAGCAAGTCCTCCAGGTGGCAGCTCCAAGCTCAGGGCAAGTCCCACCCAACAGAAGAGCTGCCCTGCTGCACTTACGGGGAGGCGCCAAGCCTGTCCAGCTGCCCTGAGGAGACGCTGCTGGAGCCCTGCCATGCACACAGCACATGGGGTGTGCACAATGACACAGCTGCTGCGGCTCCTCCAGTGCGTGCTCACCCAGGGTTCTGCCAACACAGCAACAGAGCGGCCAAGCATCACGGGAGGCATGGGGGGCTTGGGCGCCAGTCGGGGCTGTCCACCGGCACAGCAGATGCTTCCAGGTAGGTCCTTGTGTCCCTGCAGCCCTGCACCAGGAGCGCAGCTTCAGTGTGTCCGGGACCTTGGAGGTAGCACTGATGCTCTGACCTGTCCCACGGTGTCACTAGGTCCTCCTCTGGGACCGAGTGTCCCTGGCCCACAGGGAAAAGCCCGTCCAAGGCTCTGGGTGCTCAGGGCATGTCAGCCTAGAGAGCAGTGACCTGTGTGAGCTCCGTATTGGGCGTAGACGGGCTCTGTGGGCTGACGGGCACCATGGGCAGGTCCACGCCTAGTCATGCGGGCCGCGGCACTGCCTCAGAGGTCTTGCAGGCCAGGGCCACGTCCTTGGCGATGCTGCGCACGCGGTCAGACACCTGCATCTCCCGGCGCAGGGCGGAGGCGCAGCAGAACTTGCGGAAGCAGGCCTTGAAGTTCTCATCCAGGAAGGCATAGAGGATGGGGTTGAGGCAGCTGTTGATGTAGCCCAGGGCTGTGCAGAAGCGCAGAATGGCCACGGCAGTCTCACTGCCCGGCTGCACGCCCAGCCCTTGGACCAGCACAAAGACCTGCACGGGCGTCCAGCAGCCGACGAACACAGCCACCACCACCAGCACCAGTCGAGTGATACGCCGCAAGTTCCGGTCCTTCTCTCGCGAGCCCGAGAGCAGGCGGACTCCACGCAGCCGCCGGATCATGAGGCTATAGCAGACGGAGATGATGAGCACGGGGATGATGAAGGAGAAGAGGAAGATGCAGACGGCAAACACAGGGCCCCAGTAGTCCTGCGGGGCAGGGATCTCCACCAGGCACTCGATCTCTGCAGGGACAGAAACGGTCAGCACGGGCCCAGGAGACGTGGAGGGGTCACCCCAGAGCCACGGGAAGCCTGGTGAGGGGAGGAGGGGACCGCGCACTGACCTTCATCCTCGACCTGTGCCGAGCCCATGATGGCCACAGGAATGCCAACAACAGAGGCCAGGGCCCAGATGGCCACATTGACAGCCTGGGCCTTGCTGGATGTGCGGACGTCAAGGGCGCGGATGGGGTGGCAGATGGCCACGTAGCGATCCACACTCATGGCGGTCAGCGTGAAGGTGCTGGTGAACATGTTGTAGTAGTCGATGGCAATGACGGTCTTGCACAGGGCGTTCCCAAACGGCCAGAAGCCCAGAAGGATGTCTGTGCCCTGGAAGGGCAGCGTCAGCAGGACCAGAGTGTCTGCCAGGGCCAGGTTAAAGATGTAAATATTGGTGGCTGTCTTCATTTTGGTGTGCCTGCAGAGTAGAGGCAGAAGAAAGGCTTCACTTGGCCATGCTGGCTTGGCCAGGCAGCAAAGGGCGAGGAGTTTGTCTTGGCCACCAGAAGCTACACTGGTCCTGAGTCCCTTAACATCAGAGTCCCCATAGGAGCTTGGTAAGTGACAGCTCCTGGACCCAACTTGAGACTCACTGAGTCAGTCTCAGGGGATGGAGCCTGGGGTCAAACATCTTAACCAGCACCTCAAGTGATTCTGACACACACACAAGTTCCAAGCCCTAAACACAGGTCTACTTTAGAGGAGTTGGGGCGTGTAGGGAACCAGAACACACCCTGGACTCTGCATGGGAGCAAACAGTAAGAACCCTGAGGGAAAGTGCCTGCTCTCCTGGATTTCGAATCTCCTCCAAGGCCCCTCACAGACTCAAATGCTGTCCCTACAGTTGCCAGAGGTTTCTGAGGGCTCCAGAGTCCATAAGAACATACCAAAAGACTTCCAAGTCCATACTGCTGTCTAGCAACTGTCTAGCAATAGAGACAGAAAATGGTGACAGGCGCAGGAGGGATGCTAATGAGGTGTGATTGTATCTGAGCACAGGAAAAGGTGCTGGAAAGGGCTGGGAAAATTGTTGGTGATTAATAAATTTTTGTTACTGGGCAAAGTTGCTCAGTCCTGTAATCCCAGCACTTTGGGAAGCCAAGGTGGGTGGATCACAAGGTCAGGAGATTGAGGCCATCCTGGCTAACACAGTGAAACCCTGTCTCTACTAAAAATACAAAAATTAGCCCAGTGTGGTGGTGCGTGCTGTAGTCTCAGCTACTTGGGAGGCTGAGGCAGGAGAATCCCCTGAACCTGGGAGGCGGAGGTTGCAGTGGGCCGAGATAGCACCGCTGCATTCCAGCCTGGGCGACAGAGTGAGACTGTCTCAAAAAACAAAGTGTTAAATAAATGAATGGTTGTATAGTTGGGGGCGATTATGGTGGTCATGGGGTAATGGTGGTGGTGACGATGGCAGTGATCATGGTGGTGATGGTGATGGTAATGAATGTGATCATTGTAGTGGTGATGATGGTGATGATGATGGTGATGAATGTGATGTGATGGTGATAGTGATGGTGAATGTGATGGTGGTGATGATGGTGATAGTGGTGGTGATGGTGATAGTGGTGGTGATGGTGGCGATGGTGGTGATGGTGATAGTGGTGGTGATGGTGGTGATGGTGGTGATGGTGGCGATGGTGGCGATGGTGATGGTGATGGTGGTGATGGTGGTGGTGACGGTGACAATGGTGATGGTGGTGGTGACGGTGGTGATGGTGGTGATGGTGATGGTGGTGGTGGTGATGGTGGTGGTGACAGTGATAGTGACGATGGTGATGGTGGTGACGGTGGTGATGGTGATGACGGTGGTGATGGTGGTGACGATGGTGATGGTGATGGTGGTGATGGTGATGATGGTGATGGTGATGATGGTGGTGATGGTGATGGTGACGGTGGTGATGGTGGTGACGGTGGTGGTGATGGTGGTGATGGTGATGATGGTGATGGTGGTGGTGATGGTGGTGGTGATGATAGTGATGATGGCGATGGTGGTGGTGATCGTGGTGATGGTGATGACGGTGGTGATGGTGATGGTGGTGATGGTGATGGTGGTGATGGTGGTGATGGTGATGATGGTGATGGTGGTGGTGATGGTGGTGGTGATGATAGTGATGATGGTGATGGTGGTGGTGATGGTGATGGTGGTGGTGATGATAGTGATGATGGCGATGGTGGTGGTGATTGTGGTGATGGTGATGACAGTGGTGATGGTGATGATAGTGGTGGCAGTCGTATTGGCAGTGGCAGCAGCACCCGCGATGACATTATTCTGTGTGAGTTTAGCTGCTGTAAGGAAGTATGGGACTCAGTTCTGCCTCTGAGAGACTGATTATGAATAAGCGCAAAGAGGCCGCAATCACCAAGAAATGACAATGCTTACAGCAAATACCTGCACCAAGCTCTTCAGGGGAATGTATGTCATTGAAGATTTGATCCCCCTCCATAAAGGAAGAAACTGAGCCCCAGAGGGTCTATGTTGTTTTTTTAAGGTCTTAGAGCTAGTAAAAAGCAGAGCAGGACTCAGAGAGGGGTGTTTCTGACTCCCAGGATGGTTCCACAGCCCAGTGGCTCAAAGCATGCCGTGTGCTGCCAGCGTGGCCAGGGCAGCCCCTGAGCATCGATCTGTCTGGGGACTCTGGTGAGAAAGATGACCTTCCTTGTCTGCTCTAATGCAGGAAGTGGCTGAGAGAGTTGTACTGCCCAGCGCAGAGGAGAGACACAGTAGAGACGCCATCATGGCAGGAAAGGGGCTCAAGCCCAGGGACCGCCCCAGGCTGCCACACTCCTGAGCCGTGTCACGCCCACCAGCCACGAAGGGACATGCACATTGTGAAGCAGTCTCCCCAGTGCCCTCGCTTAGGAGTCAGCACTGGGGAGGGACAGCTGTTCTTCCCACGCTCTTGTCTGACCATGTGTCATCTGCACACACATACACACGTACACATGTGCACACAGGCACATGCACGCACACACATACACATGTGCACACACACGTGCACACACAGGTGTGGCCACATGGTCCACCTTGCTCACTTTCCAGATGGGAAAAGCAGCTTTTCTGAGGGACACTCAGAGGACAGGGCTGGGGTGGTGGCAGCTAGAACGCCCCCACTGCCCTGTCCTGCCTCTACCCACATAGCACCTTTGGCAGGGGCCCTTTGAAGTTATAAGGAAAGACCACTTGCTTTAGAATCCTGGGTACTTTCTTCAGAATCACCTTTTTTCTGGGTCCAGGCAACACCCTGGATCAATAAGAAACCTCATTCCAGCCATGTCATTTTCCTGTTAAAGTATCACCCATAACCCCTCACTGCCTGAAGAACAAAGTTCCCCCAACCAGGCCTTCAAGACCCCACCTGCTGTCCCCGCCCCTTCAGTCTCTCTCATCTGGATGGATTTGGGGTTCCTCATTTTCTCTGCCCAGAAAACCCTCCCTTTCTGCTTAAGTCATCCCCATCTTCTACCTGTCCCATACACAATCCATGTGAAGGGTTCCTTGCCCACTCCCACACTGACCCCCACGCTGTGCCCCATGCTGTCCCCAATACCATCCCCCGGCTGCCCCCCACGATCCCCCACACTATCTCTCTTGCTATTCCTCTGCTGTCCCCCACACTATATCTCCTCATGCTATCCCCCAACACCATCCTCCGGGCTGCCCCCTGCTGTCCCCCACATGACCCTCCCACTATTCCCCATGCTATCCCCCCACTATCCCCCTGGCTGCCCCAGCTGTCCCCCGCACTGTCCCCCACACTGCTTTTTCACACTGCTCCCCACACTGCCCCCTCAACCAACTATCAGCTGCCCTCTCTTTGGCCCCCACAAGTTATCCCGTGTGAACCCACAGATCATGGGATCAATGCAGACACTTCACGAGCAGGAGCCCTAGAGCCTGAAAAGGGGTTTCAGGACTGTCCCGGCACCAGCCCTGTGCCTCCCCCTACGCATCCAGGGAATGGGCTGACAACACGTCACAGGACCAATATGGGGTCTCATGAGGTCATTCAAGCAGACAGCTTGGCACAGAGCCTGATCCACAGTTCAAACAGGGGTCAGGGTGGCGACATCTCTGCCTGGGACACAGTGGGGGTGGGCCAGGGCCAGCCGTTCCCATCCCCTCCCCGGGAGGTGAGCACCCGGGGCCTCAGGACTGGCCCTGCCTCCTGGACAGGGACAAAAACATTTAATGGAGGAAGCAGGAAAGTACCACCTGCTCAGGCCGGTCAGGAACAGCCAGTTTCCCCCTTTGCAGCTGTGTGGGACTCACCAAACAGGAACCCCATGGCCCAGCCTACCTGAGGATGACATACATGACGAGGCAGTTCCCCAGGAGCCCCCCAACACACACGGCCAGGTAGAGGCCCACGATGGTGACCTTGAGCCCAAGGGGCAGGAAGGCGCCGTGGCTGGTGTTGAGCAGCAGGTGCGGAGGCAGCAGGCTGTGGTTGGGGCTCAGCAGGGACAGGTTGCCCTGAAGGTGGCTGCCATAGATGACCTCCCAGAACGGGGCGGGGAAGAGAGGCTCCATGCCAGTGCCCTGCAGATCCACTGAGTGTAGCACCTGGGACAGAGCACAGAGACAAGCAGCTGCAGAGCCAGACACACACCCAGCCGCAGCCTCCGGCACAGCACGTGCGGCCCAGCAGGCACACGGATCCCCCACTGGGCAGCAGCCACAGTCACTGAGGTACACAGGCACACACATCAGAACACACGGGAACACACATGCACAGCCAGGGACTCATGGAGACATGAGGACACATGTGCACAGACGGGCTCACAGAACCCCAAGGGCACCTCTCATTCGCTTTACAGACACATACAGGCTGCCTGGAGGCAGTTACACCACAGGACACGTGTCCACCCACAGGGACTCATGGACAGAGCCACTCGTGTGCTCACAGGCACAGGGATGCCAGGACACATGTCACACACACAGATAAACACACGGATGCCCAAACCTGCCCTCATGCACACGCAGACACAAAAGAGACTGAGACACACCCAGAAATGCCTGGGACCCAGCTTCCTCCTGCCCCCAGCCCTGCTGTGCTGCAGTCTGTCAGCAGGACCCCCACCAGACCTCCAACAGCTCAGGCCCTTACCTCTGCAACCTTCTTGGGAGCTGGGACCACCGTAGAGACCCCCACCCTCAACCAGCCAGCAGTCGAGCGCAGGTGCAGAGCAGGGTGGAAGAGGCCCAGCCGCCACTGGCTCAGCACAGGGTCTCCTTCTCCTCAGCAGACGCCAGACCGCCAGACCAGACGCAGCAGCCAAGTGAGCCCGGCAGCCCGACACGGGGGGTGGGGGGAGGAGGCTGCAGCTCCAGAGGGGGAGGGGCCGCACAGGCTGGAAGAGGGGCCGAGGGAAGGTGGGTCACTGCATCCAGGGCTGCGCCAGCCCCACACTGGATGAGGAGACACGGACCAGGACACACATGCAGAGATGAACAAGGAGGCTCAGACCCACAGACCCCAGATGGGGACACGGGCACAGGCCGGGACACACGGACAGAGATGGCCACAGGCTTATAGGCACAGGACACACAGATGCAGACCTGGGGACGCACATGGAGACATGCACACAGACTCTGACACACACAGACATGGGGGTCACGACTCACACACAGAGACACAGCCTCGGACAGCTGGTCCAGACCAGCCAGAGCTGGCATTCCGTGCCCAGAACAGCACCCCCCAGCTGGGCTCCCGGCACACAAAAATCCCCCACCCGGCCAGCTCTCCGCAGATCAAAGCTTCATGGTAAACAAGCAGGCGAGACCCAGCACTGGCCCAGCACCTACTGCGTGCTCCCGAAGCTCAGTCACTCCCACTGCACCCGGCCACTGCCGACAGCATAAAGCTTCAGCAGCATGAGGCCCTGCAGAGCGACAGAGACGGGTTGAAACCCCAGGTCTGCTTGTCACTGGGAGACACGCCAAGGGCATGTCTGCCACAGCTGTGTCCCAGAGCTGTGCCAAGCATCGCTACCCATACGGGGCCCCGGCCCCCACAAAGCTGAGCGGCTCCTTTGGAGTTGCGTCTTTCTCAGCACGGGGGTCCCCTGCCCGATCCACTGAGATGAAAGGTCACAGGTCAAGGCCATGTGGGTGACCCTTGAGCTGAATCGCCAGCTCCCACCTGGTCACGGGGTCGTTCTTCCTGCACGGGCTTTGAAGGAGAAGCAGACCTCTCCCGACAGCTCAGACCCTGCTCAGAGCACCTTCTCCAAGAATGGGGACCTGGTTGCTAAGCAACCGGCAGCAGCGTCGCTAGGATACCTGGCAAATCAGGAGAGGATGGAACGGGCAGATGCCCCAGGACCCAGCATCCCTGGCTGTCCCCCAGGACTTATGCCTGCATCTTCACGGCAACCAAGGCTCTGAGACACATGTGAAGGCACGGAGCATGTCCACAGACACTCATGGGACACACATTCCTGCAAACATAGAGATGCCCAGACAGGCATATGGGTGAACACACAGAGACAGATACACACTCAGAAACGCAGACACTCACAGGGATACACATACACACAGGTCACACACATGGAAGACGGTGCCAAGGCAGAACTACAGCGTGCATGGACACCTCTGGGAACAGACAGACACAGACCAAGGCCGTCAGACACCCAGAGGACATACACACGCAGAAACACGCTCTCCAGGAAAGGCGCAAGGGTGAGCCCACTGCCTGGGGAGCTGAGGTGGGAAGGGATCCAGGCAGGCTCAGATCCCTGCAGCCCCCTGCCCCCGCTGGGCTCACCAAGCTCTGAGCAGGAAGCCCTAGACCCTCCTACTGCAGCTTCCTGAGCCTGCCTACCCACCCACCCACAGAACCTCATTTCCTGATGGTCTTCAGCTGCCGCCCAGACTGGGCACTGCAGGCACTGAGGGTGGGCAGAGAAGAGACCTTCTAAGGGAAGGGGGACAAAGGAGCCCCCCTCAATGTGCCCGGCCCAGGAGCCAGTGGCAGAGGCCAGGGCAGAGCGAGGGACACAGGAACCTCATCCCTTGCTGCAAACCCTCTCCCTTAGCATGTCTGCCTGCCACCCGGTCACCCACACAACTTCCTCCATGCAGCCAGAGAGGGAGAGAATGAGGGGCCAGGATGGGGAGGAGGGGGAAAGGGAAAGGAGTGGGAGGGAGAATGGAGAGAGAACAGGGAGGAGGGGAGGAAAACATGTTGGGGACAGGACAGGAAGAAAGGAAGGCGGTGAGGTCAGACCTAGCTCCCTGACCCCTGCCTCTTTTGACCCCAAGCCTTCTCGCCCAGCAACAGCAGCCAGCCACCTGCGCCCCCACCAAGGCAGCTCCCAGCCCTGCCTTGCCTGGTGTTTCAGGAGGCAATAGAGACCTCAACTCCCTTTGTGGGAGCCATTCAGGGTCCAGCAGAAGGCCGTGGCCTCCCCAACCGATCCAGAAGGTGTTCATAATCTGATACTGTGTTCCCTTGAACTTCCTGTGTGTTTTCTGTGTCATCTTGCCCTGGTATATTCGTAAGCACAAAACCCAGGACAGCTCCTCCGTCCCTTGTGCCCACTGCAAAGCCCCTGCCAAGACCCTGGCACCCTGAACAGCCTAGGCCCCCTGCACAGAACCTGGCCCCACCCACATAGACCCTGTCCCCACCTCTGTACAGACCCTGCCCCTATGCACTGACCCTGTGCACCTGATGCACACCATCTGTCCCCCCTGCAAAGACCCTGACCACACCTGCAAGGATCCAGTTGCCCCAAACCCCGGCACAGACTGTACCCCCACTCCGCAGAGAACCCATCCCCCTGCATAGATCTTGGCCCCTCTGTACAGATCCTGCCCTCCTGGACAGGTCCTCTCCCCACAACCTGAACAGACACTGCCTGCAGCACAAATCCTGCCCTCCCCAAACAGGTCCCTTGAACAGACACTGACTCCTAATGTAGACTCCTACTGCACAGATCCTGGCCCCACTGCACAGAAGCTGCTCCCCCACAGAGACTCTGCCCCCTGGCAAAGATCCTGCCACCTCCATGAGTCCTGCCCCCAGTCAGAACAGACCCCATCTCACCTACACATTCCCAGCCCCCTGCATAAACCCTGACCGCCCTGCAGAGATCCTGTCCCCGTTGTACAGATCTCATCCCCCTGCAAGAACCTGCCTGCCCCTTGGCACAGACCATGCCCCCACCCAGATCCTGTAGGCTTACACAGATCCTGACTCCCCTCAAAGATCCTGCCCCACTGAACCAATCCTAGCTCCCTGCACAGATCCTGCCGCCACCCAGATCCTGGCCCCTGCACATATCCAAGCCCCGCTGCAAAGATCCTGCACGCTCCACAGATCCTGTGACCCCCTAGAAGTCCTCCCTGCAGGTACTCTTGCCCCATGCAGAGATCCTGGCCTCCTGCTCAGCCTCTGGCCTCCTGCATAGCCTCTGGCCTCCTGCTCAGCCTCTGGCGTCCTGCACAGCCTCTGGCCTCCTGCTCAGCCTCTGGCATCCTGCACAGCCTCTGGCCTCCTGCTCAGCCTCTGGCGTCCTGCTCAGCCTCTGGCGTCCTGCACAGCCTCTGGCCTCCTGCACAGCCTGTGGCCTCCTGCTCAGCCTCTGGCCTCCTGCTCAGCCTGTGGCCTCCTGCTCAGCCTCTGGC